ATTTATATACATATGCAAATTTGAAATTTAGAATTTAAAATTTAAAATTTTAATTAGTAATTTTTTTTATTTTTTAGTTGTTATTAAAATTAAATTTTTGTTTACTTTATATTCATATTATATATTTTTTTCTCTATTTCACCTATTTTACTTTGTTGATAATCTTTAAAATAATGTCAAGCGTTAACTGTAAACTATATTAATCTTTGTTTTTGAAATTAACTACAATGTAGCCATATAGGTTAATTTATGCTTGCTTTTCTTTTTTCCTTTCACCCCTGCTTCCCCATTTGCCTTCTTATATCTTTTCTCTTTTTTTCTCTTTGTCTCTTTTCCTCTCAGATGACTTATTAAATAGGTCAATGTCTGGGCCTTACTCCCACCTTCCCTTACAGTTAAGTATCTTAATAAAAATAGATTTAAACTTATTTCTATCTCTCCCTTCCTTCTTTCTAATTTCGACCATATCTGTCGCCCTTCTCCTCTCTCTCCCTCCCTCTCTCTCTCTCTCTCTCTCTTTCTCTCTCTCTATCACATTATACGAACTTAACACTACCTCTCAAAAGCGTATAAAAATAATATGTAAATTTTAAAACCATTTTTTATGCTTGGAAATGTGATCTGAGAAACGAGAAATAAAACAACCTTCCTGTTGAAATATAATATAATCAAATAGACCCTTAAAGTTGTCTGTTCTTTTCTGAAATTTTAAATATACAGTGTAACCCGGATATAAGAGAAACCCGGATATAAGAGAGATTTTCTCTGGTCCAAAATTAGAGCCTGTGTTAATGTATATAAAATAGACCAAACCCGGATATAAGAGAGTTGTGTCGGAAACCTATCACCCCTCTTGAAGATGAACTTGTCTGCGAACAAAGACGTTAAATGGCGGCATGTCAGAAGACAGAGCAGTTCTTAGCTGAGCTAGTGATTGACGACTCAGGCAATTTCTGTACCTTTTTACCAACCTATTAAAACCCTTTTTATTGTTACGTGTTATTTGGCGTTTGTCTCTACTAACCCCAAATCAACATCATAACAAAGAGAAACCCGGATATAAGAGATTCTCTCTGGTCCCAAATTAGAGCCTGTGTTAATGTATATAAAATAGACCAAACCGGATATAAGAGACTTCTCCGGTCCCGACAACTCTCTTATATCAGGTATATATATATATATATATATATATATATATATATATATATATATATATATATATATAATATATATATATATATAATGATATTATACATTAAATACTTTAGACAAGTTCTGTTTACTTATCATCAATAGGATCCACATATTTACGGACAAGTTTCTTTGTATACTTATTCAAGGAAGTAAGAAAATTTCCATGTTGATACCTATTCCTTTCATTTCGAGTACTTTCGATAACAGCACAATGTCATAAAGAAGACCTTTGTTTTTCCCAAGACAAAAATTGTTGCTTTCATCTAAATTTAATTTTCAGATGAACACAACAATTTTGTCTTAGAAAAAAACTAAAATCAATACGCCGGGTAAATAGACATTCAAATGGTTAAAGGGGGTAATCAATATATAATCTAAAATATGTATAGGGCTTGTGATATTTGAATAATATATCTTTAAGAGAGTTTTCTTTCTGTGATTTTAATTCTGGATAAATATATTATTCAAATATCGCATGCCCTTTACATATTTTAGTTTACATATTGGCTACCCTGCTTAAACGATTTTAATGTGTTACGAGTTACCCAGCAATCCTCTTTTAAACCTACTGTCACCCTACATTTTGAATTTAAACTGCAATTATTATATTAAGTTTATACCATGAAACAGTATTTTTTCTAAAAATCTCCCATAATAATTCGTGGCTGATAACTTGATAGAACCACGAAACTTTATGTTGCACTTCGAAGATATATATATATATATATATATATATATATATATATATATATATATATATGTTTATTAATATATACTTCTTAGTTCTCTTTGACCACATTGACTACTGTTTTTTGTTTACAACATATATTAAATTAAGTAAATATTTATTTGCTTATCTGTGTATGCGCGCTAATGCATATATATAAAGTTGCTAATATCTCATGATTTGGTGCATATCACATTTATATATATATATATATATATATATATATATATATATATATATATATATATATATCAGATTTTATTATACAAATCATTTTTTGTAATAACTTCAGTGAAAAACCTTTTTCTAAACGTCATGGCAATGGGATCATACAAATCGAAAAATAGATTTTCGGTGCCAATATAGTATGTATTTTTTATTTGGCTAGGTTAAAGTTCAGGTAGATTTTATTTGCGTATCAGTGGAGGTATAGACAAATATTTTCTAGCATCTCAACTTCAGTATTTTTCATAATTATTTTCATAGTCATTGTTTTAATAGGATCTCCTCATTATTACATCAACCTCATGAATTTAATCTTACCAAGTTTCATCGTTTTAATGTGCAAATAGCTAGGCGTAACCTTAAGTTCTATTTTAATCTGTTTGGTTGACTTTGTTTAGCGGCATATCAACACCCTTATGGGTTTTTTAATGCCGAAATATAAATATTTGAACACAATTTTATGGCTTCAATTAAATATATTTTGATCGCAATTGTATGCCTTCATCTACAGATAAAATCTAATGGTGGTCATTTTGCAATTTGTCTCGTGTATGACGATGAACTAAATCCGGTATCAAGTCCTCTGATTGGTGTGAAGTGCAGAACTACCTCTTAATTTGTTTACGCCACCACCACACTGCGAAAGCTTAGTCTGAACGTGTTTAAAACAAAATCATTTAAATATGCGTTTAAATTCCTTTAAATATGGACATGTCAGAATATCTATGAGTCAGGGAAATGAAATTAAGAATTCGAAGAAAAGATTCTCGGTGCCAAGAAAATTTGCATTTTTCATTTGTCTGGATTAAAGTTCATGTAATTGTTGTCTGGGTGTCTGTGGAGGGATACACAAAGATTGACTGTTTATTTGCCATAAAATTGCAATACACATTGTTACTGCTTCTTTTTCACTCGAATCGTGTACAGTGGCAGAATCTTTTCAATAGAAAAAATTTTCAGCAATAGATTTGAATAGTGAAAAAAATAAATTACTATAGCGTCAGAGAAAATTAAATTTCGGCTTTAAATAACCCATAAGAAGTTGATATGCCTTTAAAGAAACAAAGCAACCCACCAATCAATTTGATATAAAATATATTATTGGTCATTTTATTAAATGTATTCCTGGTATTTTAATATAAAAATGTATTTGTATACTTTCATAGTGGGTTCACCCCAGTTTGGGGGTTAATTATTTTCCTATAGCTGGGACCCTAACAGGTGCTACCACCCGGGTGAAGGTGGACCTCGAATGTAGTTTATCAACGTAAATAGCTGAGCCATTGGATCATACATGTCAGCAATATTCTAAACTTCAAGAATAGATGAATATAAGACGTTTATATTTGAATCTATAATCATTTAATTGGTTCAGAAAAAGCTCAATAATTTTTATATATTTATGACTTTATAAGCATTTCTGCACATGGACGTGGTGTAATGGCTAACAAGCTTGTCGTGCTAGACCAATTACGGCCGAGTAGGAAAGTCGATAACCACTAAGTGCTCCGTGTTTTAGACCTTGTGCCACGTCTAAGCAACGCCTAATAAAACTATAAATATTTCGGGATTCGAGAATAGCTAAATTTTAGCCACTTATATTTGAGTCGATAATTATTTTGTGTGTAACAGTATCGGTCGTTTACATTTGAGCCTATAGGCATTTCCTTGGATTAGAAATATTCGTTATTTGTGTTTGAGTTTAATGCCATTTATTTGGTTCGAGGATACTTACTCATCTATACGCCAGTCTATAAGAATTTTGTTGACTAAAGATTGACAAATATTGGCTGTTTTTATTTGAGTCAATAATTATTTACTTGTTTCAGGAATAATAAATATTTGAATCCATAAGTTTTTACTTACTATATCGTCTCTTTTGGAGGTTTCCCGTTGTACAGGACATAAAGTATATTAGACCCAAACGAGAAGATATATATATATATATATATATAGAGAGAGAGAGAGAGAGAGAGAGAGAGAGAACAACAAGATAGATAGATAGATAGATAGATAGATAGATAGATAGATAGATAGATAATGAACAGACTGTTATAGATAGATAGATAGATAGATAGATAGATAGATAGATAGATAGATAGATAGATAGATAGATAGATATGAGCAGGCTGACGTACATAGATCCTGCGATAGATAGATAGATAGATAGATAGATAGATAGATAGATAGATAGATAGATGAATAATGAACAGACTGTGATAGATAGATAGATAGATAGATAGATAGATAGATAGATAGATAGATAGATATGATATGAGCAGGCTGACGTACATAGATCCTGCGATAGATAGATAGATAGATAGATAGATAGATAGATAAGATAGATAGATAATGAACAGACTGTGATAGATAGATAGATAGATAGATGGATGATGGATGACAGGCTGACGTACATAGATCCTGCGGGAGAGATAGATAGATAGATAGATAGATAGATAGATAGATAGATAGATAGATAGATAGATAGATGCGGTAAAAAGAAAAAAGACCATTACATTAATGTCCAACCAAATGCCTGCATAAACCTATTTTTAAATAAAAGTGTTTTTATTTTTTATTCTTCTTTATTTATTTATTTTTTGCATTTCCCAAATAATTTATTTAGTAAAACTTTTGTTTTCTTTGTTGGACATAAATGACTAATCTCATAAATTATGTACGATTCATCGGGGAAAATCTGAATTCTTGAAAATGAAAGTAAGAAAGAAAAACTTGTTTTCTCAAATCCATTCGCGGCTGTTAATGGGGCAAATGAATAAAAATCAATGGGGAAAGATAACTCTTTAAAGATGACTTCTTGTATAAAGTATTAAGAGTTTATTTAATGTAACTATCAATATGTCATTGACTGGCTTTGAGAAGAGAGACACATGGCCGAATTTAAGGAGATATATAAGAAAGAAAAGACATGAGAGCGATGAAGGTTTGTACAAAGAAAGAAGACGAACATGGTTAAGAAAGAAAGAAAGAAAGAAAGAAAGAAAGAAAGAAAGAAAGAAAGATGCTGGTGAAAAAAGAGATATAATATGGCAAAAAGATAAAGAAAAGACAGTTAAGAAAAAAGAAAATGAAGAAGGAAAGGGAGAAAGAAAGGGAGAATGAAATGGAGAATGAAAATGAGAATTTGTTGCCATATTCACGATGTTTTGGCTGTTGTATACTCTGGCCTTCTTCAGTTGATTCGAATTTCGAACCAAACCAATTATTTCGTCTACCGAAGTAGTTTTTTTTTTTCTAGTTCTACGTACTATGGATCCAACCAACTCTTTTATCCACTGGGACATGTGTGAGTGAGGACCCAAAGCGTTGTGAGTTCAATACCTGACAGTGGTGAACAAATACTTGGAGAGTTCAATTAAAGGGACATAACTAAGATATCCTAAATTTCCTAAAATATTTAGAAAGTGAAGTCATATTGCTTTTATCCATTGTATATATGTGTTCTATTTCATCAATTGAAAATAACAGAAATATTAGATTGTATATTGGTAGCAATAAGAATACTTTTAAAAAACGGTTTTATAACCATCTATCTTCTTTTACTAATGTTAAAAAACGCAGTGACTTAATTTCTAAGTATTTTGCTTTAAATTAAACGAAAACAAGCCACCTAAAATTAAATGGAATATGTTCAAACAATCTAAAACTTGTAGATCTTTATATGAACTTTGTTTTCTATGGAGAAAATAAGTATAATTAAACTTTTGAATAGCGGACAATTATTAAACCAGAGATTTAAAACTACAGTGAATTGTAGGCATATTAAAGACTAGCAATAGAGCTCGGCGTTGCCCGGGGATGTAACAGTAAGAGATAGATCAAGTACCGACCATCATAAAGACTGAAAAAAAAAATTGACAAAGATTATTGTTTAAGGTTGATGGACACGCATGTCTTAATTAGTTTTTTGTTTTTTTGGGGTTTTTTTACGAATTGGTCAAACCCAAACTCAAACAAAAACATTGTTTTCAATCGTTATGAGTCTACCGACTAAATTTTCTTTTAAATGGAATTTTTAAAGCATTCTGAATGTAAAAATAAAGAAAAAAGTGTGCAAGACAATAAGAAACACTACTTGCCAAAAAAAGGGTGAAGTTTTGTTGAAATCGGTTGAAAAATGTAGGAAATCTGATCCCATATATAAACGAACACACACACACACACACACACAAACAACCTGGGTTTTATAATAAGTATAACTCGATATGAGTTGTACCCCTTTCATTCTCGCGACAGCGATCTAATCGTGTTTTCAAATTGATTCGTGCAAAAACAATTGTTTTTCCAATTTTTGGCGCTGTAAGAACCACCGCAAGGTAATTCTACGTAGTCCTGTGAATTTTTGTTGAAATCGGTTGAAAAGTGTAGGAAATCCGATCCAATCTATAAACGAACAGACACACACACACACGTGGGTTTTATAATAAGTATGATTTAACCTTACAATCTTGCTAAACTTTATAACTTAATAATCAATCCTTTTATGTTATATTACTCTCATATAAACAATTTAATGTTATTTTTACTGATTTAACTTAAATTAAGGTCGTAAATATGTTCGTAATCCTATAGTACTCGTATTCATGTTTGTCGTAGATAAGTTTATATTTATATTACGAGTTATAAAATTTGGTAATAGTTTTAATTTTATAATATTCATATAAATATTATAAAATTATATTTTATTTATTTTTACTTTTTCATGTGATGTTTAGTATAGTTAACTTGTTTTTACTTCTTAAAGTGCCTTTTATTTACATACTATGTTTAATTTTGTTAAATAATATGTTGGTTTCTTTCAAACTCCAAACTTAACTGATATATTGTATCTAAAATATTTTCCACTCTGTTCCAATCATATCCGATGAAATTTGAATCTTTCACTTTGACTTCTAATCTTAATGTTAACATTTTTTTCATTGGCTGAATTGTTATCAACATCTTCTATTGTCTTCCTTTCTTCTTTTCTTTCTGTTTTTTTTTTCTTTTCCTTTTCTTTGTATTAGTTAATTTCGCTATATTACTCCTCTTCGTTTTTTTTTTCTTTTTGTCTTCCTTTTCATCGGAGAAAGGATGATTTTTATGCTTGTCTTTTCTTATTTCTTTCTGTTTCTATTTCTTCTTTCTTTTTCCTTTTATTGATTTTTTATCCTCTTCTTTTTTCTGCTCTAACCTGCATACATTATTATTTTTTCTTTTCCTTTTATGGAAATTCTTCTTATGTCTTTCCTACATTTTTAAAAATGTAAAAAAGTAGCATTTTTAAATAAAATAGTTTATAACCATCTTTGTTTACCACCTGATGAGATGCTTATGCATCGAAACAAATATGCATCTTTGTAGTGATTACATGTGTATTCGTACGTAACAACGTATAATAGATAGATAGATAGATAGATAGATAGATAGATAGATAGGAAATGATTGTGATAGATAGATAGATAGATAGATAGATAGATAGATAGATAGATAGATAGATAGATAGATAGAAATCCTTCATTTATAGATGTTTCCTTAAAGACGACCGACAACATACTGAGATTAAACATTTTATTTAATTTTTCTTATGTTCAAGCAAGTGTTTTCATTTCTGGACAGACAATGTCATGGAGCTGTGGTCGGATAGGTGTAACGTAAGTCGTCTAGATAGGGATGTAGTAGATTGACCAATGTCATTATTTATGACTTCGGTTTTATCAGGGACACAGTTCCTTAAGGAGCATTTGAACACGTAAATAATTTTCGTTCTTTATAGTTTTGATTTTGTTTTGTTATTTTTTAGGATAAGTTGAGCTGTTATAAACTTTTTGTAAACGTACAAGTAGAAAATACAAGCAAAAAGAAGGATAGAGAAAGAAAGAGTGTAAGAAAGGTTAGAAAGAAAGAGAAAAGGTGAGGAAAATGCAAAAAGAAAGATAGAAAAGAAAACACTCTGAATTAGATCCAGAATGCATGAATTAAGAGACAGAAAGGATAAAATACGATAAAAGAAAGAAGAAAGAAAGAAAAAAGATGAAGAAATAACGATAGAAATGCAGAAAAATATGAGAAAAAGAAAGAAAGAAAAAAGAGAAAAACACAGAAAATGTATAAAGGAAAAAAGTGAAAGAAAAGAAAAATTGGCTAAAGACAGAAGGAATTATGTTTATTGAAAAAAATGATAGAGAAATTATAAAAAAGAATAAGAATAATGCAGGAAGAAAGAAAGATCGTAAGAGAGAAAGAAAAAGAAAGAAAGTAAAAAGAATAAAAACAACGGACAAAGATAGGAAAGAGAAAGATAAAAAGAAAGAAAATACAGAAATAAAAAAAGAAAGAACGCAAGAGAGAAAGACAAAGAAAGAACAGAAGAAAGATAGAAAGAACGAAAAATAGAAAGAAAGAAAGAAAGAAAGAAAGAAAGAAAGGAGAGAAAGAAAGAAATAAAGAAAGAAAGAAAGAAAGGAGAGAAAGAAAGAAAGAACAACTGAAAAGTGTTAACTCTCAATATCTAATTAGAAGAATTCGTCAAAGAATTTCAAAATCAAAATAAGGAAATTTCAATTAAATGAAGCCTAAAAGAATTGTAAAAAGAAAGCATAGTAGGAAAGAAAGAAAAGAAAAGGATGAAAAAACAAAAGAAAATAATAGGAACATAATTTTAAAAAGGAAATTAAATTAATTAATAGGGGAAAGGAGTCGAAATCCAGAATCAAAAATGGAAAAGACAAACTGAATTAATTAAGTTAATGAAATCTTTAACTAAATTGATCAGATTCACCGGCAAATCGTTGTCATGGGTAAGTTTGAGAAATTCCAAAATTTGATCATTTTTTTTATTGTTTACTTTTAAACATTCTTTAAGGTTTTTGGCTATTTTTTAGGAAGCATTAAATCTCAGACATACAATGATTCTATTCGTTATCTATTAATCATTTTATCTTGCATAGTGTCATCGTGTTTTGTAACACAAGCCGATAAATGGTGTCTTCTAAAACTAAACAAAGATTCAAGATACAAAAATATTTCGTTAGAAACAAAGAAAAGAGTGTTGAAATAATGTGTAATATTGATCTTGATATGGCGCTGAATGTCTAACAATTTTCTCGGCATGGCTGATGCTAACCTCCAGGAGAGTGACCTATTGCACCTTCTCGGACTAACGTTTTCCACTGACATGAAGTGTACAGCTAAGAGAGTTGGTTACATATTTATAAGTTTACTATTCTTCATTTCTTTGAATATGGTGCCACATCTGCTATAGTGAATTTTGATGAAACTCAAAAAAAGAATCAGCAATGTTACAGATCCTAAACAGGCATCTCGGCTTCAGTCACATTCTCACTGCCGTAATGTAGCTTCCCTGTGTCTTTTCTATAAATACTTCCATGTTAAATGTTCTGATCAAATTTCCTCTATGGTAAGTAGATTATTTTAAATTTAAACACACTACTAGATTGCTGGCAAAATCTCATCATTTTACACTTAAATCGCTCCATGTAACCGTAAGTTTTATGCTAACAGATTCTCCTATAGCATTTCACGCTTGTAGAACTCTCTGCTTCTTGCTTCCCAGTCAAATTTGATCATCAAAAATTTAAATATAACATCATCTTTTATCTTGTACTTTTATTGTCTTCTCTCCTTAATAGTTATATTTTTCTCTTATTCTCTAACACTCGGTAACACTGCGCGTTATAGTGGCTCTATTCCCTTGCTTGGAGTGAACGTCTTTAAAACAAAATGGCCTCGCAGATGAAGAGGCGATATGAAGCAACAAGAGATATTGTTCTACAGAAGGATGCTGAGATTACCATGGACATATGAGAAACAAGATGTAAGCCTATATTTAAAATCAGAAAATGGTTGAAATTTCTCGGAAAAATAACAATGAAAAAGATCTAGCAAAATTTGACATCCACAGGACATTATGAAGGCAAAAACTTGAAAAGAAACAGCGATGGACTAATAGCATAAATTGGTGACACAAAAGAAAATGAAAGAATTAGTAAAAAGACAAACAAGAGCTGTAAAAAATAGGAAGTTTTGGAGAATTATGAACGCCCGTGTCCTGAAGGGCCACGACACGCAGAAGTAGACAAGAGATATTCGTTAGATATGAAAATGTCTATGATATTGTAATATCATGTCTATATGATATTGTAATGGGGGTTAATACACAGGATAATAGTAACGGTCTGCGAGAAAGAGATATTCCCATATTTACGTTTCCTCGGCCCTATTATGGGGTTTATTGTATCCATGATAGAATAGCACCTTAATACACGGAGGAACGGAATAGCTGAAAGAAAAAGGATGACAAACATGCTTATTGAATTACTATAACACATGTCTACATCAACAAGTAGTGTGAAAATGGTTAAAAAAAAAAAAAGATAGCCTTATTTTTAGTAAATCCCTACGGGAATTTGAGCTACCGGAGGAAGCAGACTTAGGATTACCAACGTAGATTCGAACGGGCCGGATTTAGCTTCTATGTCACTAACGACGACGAATTTCTCAAACATGAGGACTTCGAGCCCGAGTGAGTTTCTATCTCTGGTGAAAGTGAAAAAAATATTTCCAAAGGAAACTCCAGGCAGTTGACTTCGGTCACTCTATGAAGTAACGTCACTAAGCGACCGTCACGTGACAAACGTGCCTTCATCTCAACTTCATTACTCAGATGAGGAAGAAGCTTAAATTATTATTTCATACCGAGGGATGTTCCCTACCAAACAAAATGAAACTAAAGATATCGAAAGTCAAAAAGTTAAGATTCCAATACAACGTTAAAAGATAAGAAGAACTAAAGTAAATATGCAAAACAGAATGACCAAGCTGCTCTCTATCAAAAAATAGGTTAGATTTACTACTACTAATAATAATACTAATACTAATACTATTGATTTATTCTTTTAGTTTCTGGTGTATGCCCATTTCTTTCTGGGTCGAGACTAAAGACAGAAATGGCATCATGACATTTTCCACTGTGTAGTTTTAAAAAACAAATCGCACATATTTTACATAGAAAAAGCCCTTCGTAAGGTGTGGACTGTACTTGTGGATACATTTTTTTGTATCTTTCCAACGCATGCTATACCAGGGATTCCTTCAGTGAGTCTATTTGAAAGTTTTCCAATCAATCCGAGGGCTCCATCTACAACTATGTTAATATCCGCATGCGCCACATTTTTCAGATTTCGGTTTCAAGGTCCTCCTTGTATTTTGATAGTTTGTTGGAGATCTTGAAAGATACATTGCAGTCTTTAGGGACTGTCATGTGTCAATAAGGAAGCACATTTTCTTTGCGGTTTCTAATCACAATGTCACGGCGATTAGCTTTGATTGTTCTATTTGTGTGTATTGTAAAGCACCATAAAATTGTTACAGGTCTTATCTCTGTAACCCGGTATGGGTGGTGTTCATACCAATTTCTAGCACTTTCCTTTCGGTAAGTGTTGCAGATTTTCCAATGCCGATATTGGTCCACTCTATTGTGCCGTGTTTTATATTCAGTAGGTGCCAATACCGCGCAACCCGATACAAGATGGTCAATTATTTCTGGTTATTTATCACACAATCTGCATTTTCGACTAACCCAAACTTTCACTATGTGTGCTTGGTAATTTCTAGCATTGATTAAAACCTGTGCAGCAAGAATAAAACTTTCCATTGCAACTTTTATCCCAGCACTATTGTTATTATTATTAATATTATTATTATTCTGTCCTGTCCCTGAAGGTAATGTGAGTTCCCGTCTCTCAACAATTTCTTCGCCTTTGTAGCACTAGACAATGTTTGTTCGTTTACTATCACTGTAGATGCCTTCTGTATATCATGTCAGTGTCTCCAAGATCACTTTTCATTACAGGCTTATGGCCATATGCTTTTTGAAACATCGGTCCTCGTACGATAATCGAAGTTAAGCAACGACGAGCCTGGTTATTACCTAGGTAACCGCTTTTAAATACCAGGTGCTGTATGTAAATACAACAGGAATTAGAACTCGGCTCTCCGGTTAACAATTCCCGGCCATTATACATTACCCCCACGCACATCCATGCTTGCTGCACCTGGAATTCCCAAGAGGTCACCCATCAGATTACTGACTAGGGTCCATGTTGTTTAACACCGGATCGTACAGGAATCGATGTTCTGACGGTAAGTCTGGTTTTAGGTTCAGTTGGTCTGAATGTTTGACTGGAATTGGTACATTCTCTTTAAATTGTTCTGATAAGAGACGCGTGTCAAAGACTCATCTGAACCCTCCATCGTGTTATTAAATCCGACAATTTAATTTGAAGGACGAAAATTTTCAGACAAAAGGCTGCAAAAAAGACGAAGATAGTAACAAGTCATCAGTTGTCGCTATTTTCGCCCAAGGCAGATTGCGAACTAAAATGACTTATTTCCTACCATTTAGCAAAGCAAGGTTCGAAATAAAGAAATATCTTTCTTTCTTAGCATCACCAAGAGAAAAGAACTTTTAAAAGACAATATTTTAAGCAATTTAAACTATGGATAAATAATAGTAACTTGTAAAAACAAGAAAAAGTCGAAAACAGTAGTAGTTATATAAGAGAAGTTTAGCTGTTAACACGATGCACACATGTGATAAAAATTAACGGCGGTTTTCTTTCATTAGTTTTTGTCTGAAGTCAGAAAAGTAATATGTCATCTGTTCATCTTTGTTGAGCATACTGAATTACTGCACTCGACTTTTCCTTGTCTGATGCATATTAAAATATTCCTTTTTCTGCTGTCGGGTCAGTTTTTTTCTTTCCTTCTTCGGCCAAAACAAGTTAAATCTTTTATTGTAAAACGTCGCATTTGACAAGCCTCATTTGAGAGTCGTTGTATGTCGAACCATAGAACCCTGAGAGCATTTTTTTTACATCTAAGAGAAGAAAATTGGCCAAAAAAAAGCAAGAAAATAAGAAACAGAAATATTGAAGTTTACACAAAAGTATAGTAACGGACAAAGTAAATAATACATATTGAAAAATAGAAAAAAAATACTGTAAAAATCGTTTAGGGAAAGGAGTATTATTTGAAAAAAATTTGAGGAATCGGAGAGCCGAGTTCGAATTCCAGTCGAATCCATTACGTTCACTTACGTGCTAACACCCTTGGAAAAGGTGTGAATCCTCTTTCTTCTCCCTCCAGCTATGGGTAAATAGCAGGACAGACCAGGTTCCATAGACTTGGATGGCAACTAGTGTACCGCAGAAAGTAATGGCAAGCTACTGCGGGAAAAAAAATCAGCCTTGCACATCATGTATCGAAGGATACATATCGCCTAAGCGTGTATCACGCATGGCATTTAAAAAAGGTAAGACTATTATCATTAAATTATTATTATTATCTCCCCACCCCCAATTCATAAGATACAAATAATATTTCTGGCTTTCAATAACCTACAGTTGGCTTATAATCCGTAGAAAACAGATCAATCAATCGATATATATATATATATATATATAT